TGTAGCACTTTCAAGAGTTAAGTCGAGATCGGGATTAAAAATCCTAATAACCGGCAAAGAATCGAAGCAGCAGACCAAAACATTGAATGTTGTCTACAAACAAGTTTTCCAAAATATTCCATAGTCAGGGTACGTGATTTTAATATACTTTTTCAAATAATTTCCGTTTTCATATATAAACTTTTATATTATTTTTTGACAAGATATTCGAAGATGGGTACTGATGAGGTAGAAGAGAGATTTTATTTGATTACCATCCATCATTTTGCATATTCCTATAACGGTATGGAATTTAATATTATTTACAGATACAATAAATTCAGAAATTATTTTATAACTATCACAGAAATTTATCCGGTCTTAGGGCTTACAAACTACAATTTTTATTTGCAGGTGTCTAATGGATTTTGTACACCTTTATCGAGATTTTGTAGTTCATAAATTTAGATTATTTATGGATAATAATTTTAGTTTATATTTTCGGAACTTATTTTAAAAATTATTATATTTTCTTTTAATATGCGTACAAAAATAAGGTTGAAAATTATACATAATACTATTATTCACCTAAAAATAAAAAATACAACACATATATAATATAATTCTAATTACACAGGATAATATACAATTTGTTACTTCGAAAACTGTCAATTCTTTGCATAAGAAGTCGTAGCAAATCCATTAGATGACGAATGAAAATATTTTCGTAAAACACACTAATTATTTTGAGACTTTGCAATTATACATACACACAATAACTACTCGCACCATGTACGTTATTTTATACTCTATCATACAATGTCAAATATTGAGTACCGACTTTTCTCCATGGTGTAGGGTTTCTCCAAAACACGGTGTAGTCTACTACTCCTAAACCGATACACTATTATAAGAAATTTTTGAACATTTTTTTGCCCGCACAGGGTGCGGACCGGTTACCTAGTAAAATACATTAAAAACGACTCGACTTATGAGATAAATCAAAGGCCAAACAATATTTAAAAATAAAAATTAGATTAGACTAAAGATGGAAACAGACGGAACAAAAGTGAATAGCAGATCAAGATGGATCGAGAGTGAGCGTCTTTACCTGTCTCCAACGAGTTTATACATCCGAGAAATGAGATCTTCTTCTTCCTCTGACATCTTCACGGCTTCCCATTCTATGCTACTCACTTCTGCTAACGATCACAATTCATATTCAATCCAAAGAAACACAAAAGAGGGTGATAGATAGCTATAGAGAGTGAGATCTCACCTTCGGAACATGACGCTTTGGCCTTGCTCTGTCTCCTGCGTCGTTTATCCATTTGTCTGCGTCTTGTCTTCGACACGAGCACAAAGAGAGAAACTAGGAGATTTTTAACAGCTTTGTTTTGTTGTTCCTATAGAAAGAAAGAGTGAGAGAAAGAAAGAGGGGCTCGAAAAAGAAAAGAAAATCAAACAGATTATTATATAACTGCGCGTGTCTGTTTAATTCCTACAATAATTTAGTTTTTAATATTATCTTACTCAATTATTATAAATTTAACTAGCAATTTATTAACTGGATGTGGAGAAGACAACAAATCTGTAGGCTTGTAGTACACACTGTTGTGCTTCAACGGCTTGGTGCATCACGAAGAAGAACGACAGATACAACCATAACTACTTATATTTAATAACATCTTTGCAGCTTTGACTTGCGGTTGTAAATGTCCTTATAGTTTACACACCGTTGGATGAAGGGAGGAAGGTTAGTTCGCGAGAACAAACCTCTATGTATTTTTCTCATATTCCTTTGGTCTTATAATAATGTCGTGACAAGTGGGCACATAACCCTATGCTTGTGCGTCTTGTGGTCCGGCAACGTACTTATTCTTATTAATTAACATAATATTGATTACAGATATGCTTTAACCGCATCTCGAGACCGTAGTATATTTCAAAGGGTTTTTTCTATTTAATATTATGTCACGTATGGAATTAGACCAAATGGAGTGAGATGAAGAGCAAAGATTAAGAAGCACATTGTTTCTATATAAAGCTTTGACTAGAAATAGGTATGATTCAGACAAGTATCCTACAACAAATATTTATTACATGTGGTTGTTAAAGAAAATGATATTTGTAATCAACCAAAAAGACTGTTGAAAAGTATATGAGATTAAAATTATATTTTTAAGAAATGATGTGCGATGAGATAAGTATATACGATAAATGCTCTACTCAATTTTGGTAGACGTTTATAATAAAGTTGAAAACGTTTGATTTATGCATTGAAAGATGGTTTTTTCTTTTCACTAAATATTTCATTAGGAAACTAAGAAGAAGAAATGTGCCTAACTGCCTATAACGATGGCCCAAATCATAATGTTCGATACAAAGAAATGAGTTTTAAAAGTCCTTTTCTAAATCATTGGCAACTAAGAGATCTAGAAAAATGATAGATAAAAATTACTGCAAGACTAAAAGAGATCGATTGGATATTTTTTACTGGAGGTTATCGGAAATAGCTCTGGTGAACGTTAAAATATCGGAGAAAATTTTGAGTGTGGAAAACTCCAAAGTTATCAGCATGCAAAATACTGATTGAATTGTGATGGCCTTTACAATAAGGGGTGAACTGATGAAGCTTTCTAAAAGCCAAAGTCCTAACTGACTTAAACTGACATGGAAGAACATGAACAGTGGTCCAAAAGCTGACTGTGAAAAGCTCTGAAGTTAGGCTATGTGAACCCGTAAAAATAGATTTGAAGGGCTTTCAATAGCTAGAATTTGGACCAGTTCCACTAAAATCAGCACAATGACCTCTTTGGTGACACATTTGGGTTTGATGACGGAGTACGAAGACGGCGACGTGACGAATACAACTCCATCCTTCTAAAGACGTTTTGGGTACCAAGATGCCTTACGACATCAGTGCTTGACGGAAGTTGAAAAGAAAGCATTGGTTGAATCCAGATGGAGACTTCGAGATCCAATATTACCGTATTGAATCCATAGAAGTTTAACGGAATTCACCCAAAACTGCTCCCATCAGATTTTGTCAAGCTTGACAAGAAAATATAGACCCCGTGAAGTGTTCTGAATGGAGGTTCAGATTTGTTGAACATACAGCAAACTGAGACTTTATGACCAAAGAAGAAGACATCAAAGGTGGAGGCTGTGTCCGAACAGCTTTGGTACACTGCAGAGATGAACAAGGCTGAGGCATAGCAGAAGGGATTCTCGGCATTGATGAGAGAGAAGTGGTGTAGGCGCTTCAGAGATGCAGAACCAAACAGATATGGTGAGCCAAAGCTCGGCTGATTAGATCTGGTGATTTCGCTTGTACATAAAAGAGTGACACCGAGTAGCGGAGTAGGTGGACGACGGAGGAGAGGATCGATTGGAGACCGAGGAGGAGAGGACCGTCTGGGGGATCTGGTGGTTCCGGAAGAAGGACGAGGAAAAAGAGATTCAAGTAGAGGGTACATAGTCAGAGGAGTAGTTGCCATCATGACAGATCTTCGGAAAGAACAAAGAGAAAGAAGAATCGCGGTGGTCAGGAATAGGATGAGGCGGAGGAGGGACACCGAAAGCAGAGGCGCATGTTGAAGTCTTCAGTCTTGTGGCTGCTTCATAAGTCGTGCTTGGGAACGTTAAGCTCTAGGGTGAACCGTTATTTTGTTTTCATTCTTTTCATTGAAAGATGATTTAAAACATCGAAGAGATGAAGTGAATAACCAACATTTTCATGAATAACTTTATTAGGAAAAACTAATATGCAAAATAAGAAGTATAGTTATATAGATTTCTCACAAACACATGAAAGTAGAATATATGGATTTCTCTCAAATGAAAAACTATCTATGCTTTCTTTTCTTACTTTTTAGGGACTATTTTATTTTAATTGTGAGAGATTATAGAAGATATGTGGTTCAATAGTGTAGTAGCCTCTGATCATGGCTTCTTTTGTTCTTAATTAAAAGTTGTTGTCATTGCACACCGTTAGTTCTGATATTAATAGGGTTTATGGCTGGGATTAGTTCATGTGTGAAAAGATAATCTTCCGCAAGGAAATATATAAAAAAATATGCATTTAAGCCCTGGATCGATTAAACTGGTGCAGACATATCACATTCTGGTATGCACTTTAAAACAATACTTACTCGGATGAACAAATTTGACAAAATGAAACAATATCAATTAGTTTTTAATCACAACATACGTCCTAACTTCATAGAAACATTTAAGGCACTTCTTATTCACACATGCACCCGTTGGGTCTAGAGTATTATGAATGTTACCAACACTATAATACAAAACGCACTATAATATACAAATGATCATGAGTTTATTATTCTCATTCTTCATTCAGTTTCATACTGCAAGTCCATGGTTCTTTCTTTCACTTGCGCGAGTTCCGGCAAAGAGGGCATGAACCGTGAATCTTAAGCCACACATCAATACATTCCACGTGGAAGCAATGATCACACTTTGGCATGAATCGTATGGTTTCTTTGCTCGCATATTCCGATAAACAAATCGGACATATAATACCATTAATCCCTGGAAGCCTTCTACTTTCTCCCAACTCAACTTTCTTGTATGTTTCTATTGTAGACTGGTCAAGACCCCTCGCCGCCGCCATAATCTCTCTTGGTTGCTGCCTTACAGTTGCTGCAATGGCCGAGTTCCCTAATCGTCTCCGGGAATTGAACCTCCGAGAGTTGTAAATGCGGATAGCAATACAAGTTCCAAAGAGAGTGACTGCTCCCATTATGGAGAAGATTATAATTACTGCTAATACTCCACTACTCAAGTGACCTGCCAAATAATGTTATACAAACCAGTTAGTATAAAGTGGTTGATTAGTATTTCGGTTTTAATTTTTTTTTTGGTACAAGTACAGTTTTTGGATTGAAACTGAATTTAATATGGGGATTTACATATATATTTTTAAATATAGTATACAAGTCTATTTATCTTTTATTTATCAGATTTTGTACTATTATTTGATAAGTAAATTTGCTGATTTGTCAATTTTTCTATGATTTTAGGTAATTTTGTTTATTTGTCATATTTTTAATAATTATACTTATAATTTATTATATAATCAAAACGAAATTTCTATTAATAATATTATTTTTTATAAAATAAGATAATTATTATGTAATATGTTATCATATGATTTTAGGTAATTTTGCTTATTTGTCATTGTGCTTGTTTTTAATAAAAAACAAACTAATATTTTTTTGTCAACATCTCTTCTTGATTTTAGGTAACTTTGCTTATTTGTCACGTTTTTAATAATTTATGTAATTTATTATATAATTAAAAATGTATATTAATAATATTATATTTTTAGAAAATAAGATAATTCTTATATTTTATGTTGTTATCTTAAAAATATATTTTCTATTTTAAAATTAAAATTTTAAGATATAAAAAGTTATAATCAAATATAAATCAAACAAAAATATTTGTATAAACATGTTTTCTAAAATATTTCTGATATGAGAACATTGTTATTTATAAATAATTTGATGTTTCATTTAAACTTTTGAAAATATAAATAATAACTTATTATGATGGTTTTGAATTAAGAAAACATAAACTAATAAGTATTTGTTAATTTCTCCACGATTTTAGTTAGTTTTGCTTATTTGTCATTATGTTGGTTTTTAATTAACATAAACTAATAACTTTTTGTCGAATTATCATTGATTTTAGGTAACGTTTTTTATTTGTCATGTTTTTAATAATTTATATATAATTATTATATAATTAAAACGAATTTATTAATAATACTATATTTTAAAAAATAAGAAAATTCTTATGTATTTTGTTGTTATCATGAAAATATATTTTATAGTATAAAATTAAAAATTTAAGATTTAAAAATATGAATAAAAAAAAACTGTATAAATATATTTTCTAAAATATTTCTGATATGTGAGCATTCTCATATATAAATAATTTGATGTTTGATTTTTTTTTTTTTTTTGAAAACCTAAATAAGAAATTATTATACTCTTTTTTTGAATTCATAAAACGTAAACTAATAAGTATTTGTTAATTTCACCATGATTTTAGTTAATTTTGCTTATTTGTCACTATGCTGATTTTTAATAAAATATAAACTAATAAATTTTTGTCAACTTCTCTTTCATTTTAGGTAGCTTTACTTATTTGTCACGTTTTTAATAATTTTATATATAATTTATTTATATAATCAGAATAAATTTATATTAATAATATTGTATTGTTAGAAAATAAGATAATTTTTATGTATTATGTTGTTATTTTGAAAAATATATTTCTGTTACAAAATTAAAAAGTTATGATATAAAAATTATAATTAAATATAAATTAAGAAAAAAAATTTGTATAAATATATTTTTAAATATTTCTAAAATGTGAGTGCTGTCATTTATAATTAATGTTATATTTGATTTAAAGGTTTCAAAAATATAAATAATAATTTATTATACTGATTTTTGAATTAATAAAATATAAATAAATAAATATTTATTAGAAAATTATATATGTATGTGTGGACAAAACACTTAGTATCAATATATATAGAGAGATGTAGATGGAATGTTTTACAAAAAGAAGACATAGATTGAATATTAGAGAAAAAAAAACAAAATTCACAGCTATTGCGACGTTTAGATTTAAGCGTGTTGAATGATAAAATGACAACACTTCCGTAGTTGAGGTGAAGTCTTGGATTGATTTATGTGTATATTTTTGTAAAATATAATTAAATAATGATCAATAGCCAATTCCTCATTATGTGTTTTTAAGTCCTGCTATGATTTTCCTATACTTTTTAATTGTTACTTGGAAATTAAAACCTAGCTAGACCTAAAAATGTACAAGGAATTGAACCTTTCACAAAAAAAGGCAGCCTCTTCTACATCCTTTCCATTTATAGAGTTTCCTTGGATCACAAGGAAAGAAGAAAAACAAGGAAAAACAATAGACTTTACCGGGTTTTTTTGCACCAAGGCATGTGATGTCAACGGATGACTTCTTGAACCCACATCTCAAGTAATTCATTTCACAATTTCTGCAATTTGGTGAGACCCATTCGAGCATGATGCTTTGATTGTTAACGTAACTCGAGAATTCTATGTCTCCGAACGGTAAACTATGCGGGACACGTAATTTCTTCACGATCTGACAAGAAGGAAACATGAGCTCTACGGAAACATAATTAGACGTGGCGAAGAAGGATGATGTAGAATTGTTTAGGCAAGGAATGGACTGATACGAAGAAGGCAAGACGACATCACTAGGACAAGAAAAGAACGTGTAGAAGATACTGAAACGAGGAGAAAAAGGAGATCCTGACAAGTCCAAGGTTAAAAGCCGTTTAGCCAAACAGTTTTCCGGGTCACTGATATAAACATGCTGCTTGTCATAGTTGATATCACGGACAAGAAATGTTCCAGACATAGGAAGTTCTAGGACTGTCTCGTTGAGATCGGTGCAGTGGAGATTGAATCCTGGATGGTCACAGAAAGGGAAACGTATGGGGGATTCTAATGGTCCACATCTATGTGGCCGATAGAAAGAAGATGAACATTTTTTAGGGTTTGAGGCGTGCAGGAGAGGGAAGAGGAAGATGAGGAAGAAACCTAAAGGGAACAGAGGTTTTGAGGAAATCATAATGCTGTTCGCGCGGTACTAAGGGAGAAGTGATTACTAGTTGTTATTAAACCACAAATCTATTAACGAGTTTAACCAGTCTCATTAGTTACGTACTAATAAGAGGAAAGTCAGAAAAATCTTTGTTTTTAGAAGAAAAGTCGAGAAAGTTTATATGTTCTTTCAAGAGTTCTATTAATTGATCAAAGCTGAAGGAGCTTTATTGATGATTTTTTTGGTATTTTTCCAAATTGTTAAATAGAATAACTTGTTTCAGAAAAAAAAAAACACAAAATCAGTTGATTGGATCAAATCTATTAATATCCTCTCTTGTGACTTTTTCTCTGCATTGATAAAGAGATTTATTCTTTGTAGTACTTTTTAATTTCTTCAGTGGGGTTGTTTTACAATACATAAGCAAAGTTTAAAATGCATGGAGATAAAGTATAGTATATATAATGAAAAAGTAAATAAACATAATAACTAGCTACTATGTCCATTACAACTTTAAATTAAATTATTCCATCAACTCAGCTTCAGTTTTGCTCCTTGAACGAGATGTACACTCATTTTTGTTCAATTTCAGACAGCTTCACGTGCTGGAGAAGGCGAATTCCGACAAAGAGGACACGTACCATGAATCTTAAGCCATGCATCTATACATTCAATGTGGAAGCAATGTTCACATTCCGGTATGCACCGCACGGTGTCTTTGCACGCATACTCAGATAAACAAATGGGACAAACAATATCATTAACTCCCGGTAATCTTATACTCTCACCTAGCTCCACTTTCTTATACGATTCTATTGTAGATTCGTCAAGCCCCTCCGGGACTGTAACCTCGTTTGTTTCAGCTGCCACATCTACTCGTCTCCAGGTAGTGAATCTCTCAGAGGTGCAAACTCCGATAGCAATACAAGTAGCAAAGATTAGGACAGGTCCGATAATGGCCAGGCTTATAATTTTAAGCACTTGTCCCGTGTTGTTATTGCCTGTCAAATCACGTTTTCAAAGGTCAATAATCAACCATACTAGGCCATGTCCGTATTATTTCCATATAATATAATTTTACGACATTCTTGATTGTGATGTAACAAGATAGGCTTTTATAATTAAACAATTCATTAGTTAACTAATAGTCAATGGCTCAAATGTCAAATGTATTGCTTACTCTATATTTTATTTCCTAATTGATAATGAGTGGATAATTATTTGAAGTCTTGCACAAACACAACATATTATTCATTCGTTATAATTATAAGAAGAGTTTTTCGTACCTGATTTTTGAAAAGGGAAGCATTTGACTTGAAGAGAAGAATTGCTTATGAATCCACATCTCAAACGATCCCTCTCACAAGTGCTACATCTTGGAGAATCCCATTTTAGCCAAAGATCTTGATTGTTGACAAAAGCCGAGAATATCGGTTTCTCAGCAAAAACCGGCCGAGAAACTGGAACATCTACTGTCTTGACAATCTGACAAGAAGGCGGCATAGATTTGGGGATACCTAAACTAGTTGTAACCAAGAACGAGGTCGTGGAATTGCTTAGACATGTGATGGAGTCAAACTCGGACGACATAGCAATCTCATTAGGACAGCTCAAGAACGTGTATTTGACAAGGTAAATAGCAGAGAAAGGAGAACCCGAAACGTCAAAGGTCAAAAGCTTTCTTGCTAAGCAAGCCTCGGGGTCATAGAGACGAATATGCTGGCTTTCATAGTCGATCTCTCGGACAAGAAATGTTCCGGACTTGGGAAGGTTTAAAGCTGTGTTTTGACTAATGCTGCAGTGGAGATCGAACCCTGGGTGGCCACAGAATTCAGGCTGGTTCGGGTCTAGCCAGAAAGGGAAGCGGACATGGACATCATGAAGACCGCATGAGGAAGAAGAACAGTCTTTTGGGTGCGAAGCACGTAAGAGAGGTAAGAGATGTAAGAGGAAGAAGATGCAATAGAAGGGTTGGTTTGAGAAAGTCATATTGTGGTTTTTGTATCACGGGAGAGACATGAAGACTTGTTCTTACAACTTTATATCATTCTAAGATATATTTAAATATTTTCTTGGTTCGACTAAACAATATTGTAGTCGTAGGATCTAGAAAAGGATCGTAGTTGTTCTCTTCCGATGATGCTCGCCAGAAAACAACTGTTAGAAATAATGGAGACATGTTTAGGGAAGACTAAAAACCTTGTAAATATTCAAATGAAAACCTTGATTAACGTACACTACAAGAAAAGTGTGCCGACTCCGATGAAATTTTCCGAGAATCGTTTTTGTCAGAAATGTATAGACAGACTTTCGATAATTTCCCGAGAACGTAAGGAAGTTGTCGGAATCATCTCAGAAATTTCCGATGTAAACCTGTTGCCGGAAGATTCTCGGAACTTCTTGTCGGGAATTTCTCGCTAAAGTACATTTACCGACAATTTTATTTATTCTCGGTCAAGTGTCAAAAATAATTATAGATCTTATCGGAGTTTTCTCGGTAACGAACGTGAACAGTGACCGTCAATATTTTTCATTTTTTGTCAACATTAACCGTGAAAATTTATTTGATTTTTTAAATTATTTCCGTCAAATTTCCGTCAAGTTCTATAAAAAAATTGTTTTTGTTTCAAAATAAATCTGCCATGGAGGTGTTTCCTAATAAAATGATTCATTAATCGTTCTTCTTCTTACTTCTTTTATTTTCTTCTCTGTCTTCCTTCATGTTCTTATTCTTCTCCTGCAAAATTTTCCTTTTTCAGATCTTTCATTAACTTCATCAAATCTTCCTTATACTTCGATATTTCTTTAATTTCTTTTGCTTCATGGTTTATAGGTTCCTTCCTCTTACATCCGATAATTGCATTAACTTCTGAGATCTCAGTCTTCTTTTTTCTTCCTTACGCCTTAATTTTCTTCTCTTCGCCTTCATTTTATTTGATTTAATGATTTTCTTCTCATCTCTTTGTTTCAGATCTAACATTTTGGAGAAGACCATCAAGGATTTATTGATGACGTGTAACTGGACACCATCGTTTCTTTCTGCCACAACCGCCGTAGCTCCTTCCACCGACGATGATGTTTAACTGGACACCATCGTTTCTTTCCGCCACCACCGCCGTAGCTCCTTCCACCGACACATTATATTCACTTTTATTTTTTTTGGTAGGAACATTATATTCACTTTTATTTGTTGGCTGTAATATATTAATGGATTTAAATTATTTTCTTTTTTATTTATAATTTCATTTTTTGCATTTATTTTTTTTTTTAATTAAATTTTTAAAGTTTGTCGGAATCACGTCACTAACTACCGACGACTTTTCCGAGAACACATATCCTCGGCCATTTCCGAGAACTCACCGACAACATAGTATTTCCGACCGTCAAACGCCGACGTATTGAAGTTTCTCGGAAAAATGTCGGAGATGACGTTTTCCAATAATGTTCCGACAAACTTGAGTGTCGGAATTAAGACCTCTTTCTTGTAGTGGTATAACTTATAGTAATTAATTAATTAAAAACCATCTAGCCGTCCAGGAAATTGTAACATTTCCAAATTATCCTTTATAAATAATTTATATTTCTTACACCAAAATTATATGCCTCAGTATATAAGTTTTTATTTGTTGCACTTCAAATCAACAAAAGAATATGCCTTACAAGAAATCTATCGTCATGCAAACCATGATTGAATATAAAAGATATTAATAAGTTGAGAACAATTTGTCATTACCTTTAATTTATGATTAATTCTTGCAGTGTACTAAATACATATACAAGTCGCCAAAAAATCAGATACAATGAAAAGATACCTAAGCGAGTAGATATGTACAGTAGTGACCAAGAAAAACATGGATTTCATACCTCTTACCCTAGAGGGCCTAGACAATATATATAAAAAAGAAATTAAAATGAAGAGAAAACGGTATCATCAAGGGGGTGTAGCCCATATGGTAGAGTGCTCGCTTTGCATGCGAGAGGTACAGGGTTTCATTTCCCGCACCTCCATCTTTTCCACAGCGAAATGTTGACTTTAGTGACAAGTATTGAGTTTCAGTTTTTTCCTTATCTAATTCAAGGCTTTATCAATAAACATAAAACTACTGTAACAGTGAAATTGTCATTACCAGGAAATATGTTCCACAGAGAAGTTAACAACACAACTTGTACATGTCCAAAGAGTTTTTATCTTTTTTTTGCTAAATATATTTAAAAGATGTTGAGAAACAAAAGCCAACAGGTTTTATATAGAAGCAAACCAAGCGTGTATATGTGCCATAGTTCCAAGTTAAGGACGTAACGATTCACACAAGAACCAATTCTATTGTTCCTGAGAGCGAACCACTTCATCAAGATGGTAATCCATCACATCGGACAAGGCTTCAAGGAATGCAGCCTCACTTGTCCCGGGAAGCACAGCCTCTTGAGCTTCCTCTACCATCTCCTCCACTAGAGATTTCTTGCTCAGAGTCTCTCTGCACATCATGTTACCAATCTCAAATGCTGTCAATCCTCTCTCTGCTCCTTTCTTCAGAAGCATTGTTGAGATTCTGAGTGTTCTAGCAGTTTTCAATGGCATTTTCCATCCATGGAACTTCAGGAGGTTGATATCTTCCTCGGCGTTAAGTGATCTTATGTAGTCTAGTGTCTCCCGAGAGTATGGTTTCCGGGCTTGTGACCAGTAAAGCCACTCGAACGTGCAATCCTCAAACTGTTTTCAGAAACAAGAATCAGTTCCAGACAAAAAGATAAACAAAATAATCCAAGAAGAGAGCATAGAACATACGCTTTCAGGCAAGCAATATCCATGATCAATTGGAATCAGAACAATCTTTCCTTCTTCGTCCTTGCTCATTAAAATGTTACCACCATGTCTATCTGCGTTAGCAAGTCTAATATCCAGCACAGAGATCTTGTGAACTTCCTCTACAGGAAACGAAGCTGGACCCATATCTTCACAACTACCATCATTCTCAGTAAACATCTGAAGTGATCCAATCTTGGTCTGAACCCCTTTGGGATGGTTAAAACCAGGATGCAGGCATTCAACCATAGTCGTTGGAGGCACACCAGCAAAACCTCTCTCTTCACCACTTTTGGGATGATCCAACAAGTAAGCAGCAACTTCCCTCAACGCACCTTCGCCAACCTTTGTTCCTTTCTTCAAACCTTCTCCGTTTGGGGAAAGTGGTAGCCCATGTGGATTGTTTTCAGCAGTTGGCTCCTCATCTATAGGCTTAAACACACCAACATATTTGTTCCCAGACGAAGCCTGCATGAAATAAGCTCCTCCTGTTCCCTCTCTTGACCTCACAGGAGGGTTCCCACTCCTTAACCCATCAGAAGCAGAGCTAACCATATCTTTAACCACTAGAGGCAACTTAGCCTTGGGATTAACAATAAGAGGCTCCAAAGAGAACTGCTTCCTTTGTGGAGCAACAATAGACAACTCAAAGCTCTTATCAACAGGCTTAGCACGAACTTTAGCAGATCTCCTCACAAGCAGATGCAAAACAGAGTCACCATTCTTACAGATATCATTAATAAGACTCTGGTCCTCAAGCTTCTCGCCTTCGTAAAGAATCTCAGAATCAACAAAGTCACCACCTTTCTGCTTGGAAATCTGCTTCTTAACATACCCAATGTTCCTCCCTCTCTCAACGTGAAACCTACAGTGTTTCCCACAAGTGGTCTTAACATCAAGAACCTGGAGATCAGAGACCTTGACAACCAAATGAAGAACGTTGCCTTCGCTAACACCGTAATCACGCATGTTGGAACTGCTCCTCGCGAGCTCTCTCCCTCCAAAGACAAGCTTCTGGTTCCTCACGACGAAGCCACGGTAAGACTGGATCCGAAGCTTGACGGATTCAATCGAATCAGACTCGAGGACTCGCATGGGTATCACGGTTCCGGGGAGGGTTAGGTAAACGAGAATGGTCTCTTCAGGTAAGGAATCGGCGCGAAGGAGAGGCATCATCGATGGTGGCTCGTTACGAACCGGGCTTAAGGTCATACCAGCTGATGACATCTTTCGAGAAAATGTAGCAACTTTTCAAACGGGAAAAAAAAAGGTTAAAACTTTTTTTGCTATATACAAACAAACCGCGAGAGAATCCCTAAATTCCCAAATCAATCATCTTCTGGAAACAACGATTAAACCCTAGAAATCAAAAATCTGATTTGATGAAGCGTTGAGCAAAACGACGGCGTATTATACAAGAGAGCGGATTCTTACCAGAAGGAAAGAACCAAAGAGGGAAAGGGGACAAGGCGTGGAGATTTAAGGAGGATCTAATCTAATTATAGTAAATCTGGAGGTTAGGGTTGAATCAATGGCGTACAGAGGATTCGCAGCTCGAGAAAACAGGGGGTGGGGGGAGAAGAAGACTTTAGGAGAGAGAGAGAGAGAGAGAGGTTTTCTGAAAGGGAAAGAGAGGAGGAACGACACGTGTCGGTGTCTAATTTGTTTAGATGACGCGTTTAAGGAGAGTTTTTTGGTTCTTTTTTGTCAAAGGTGACGACGGTCCACGTTAATACACCGTTTTAGGATAATGATTCCGGTACAAGCTTTAAAAATATTCCGGTTTGGGAGAGTTCTGTAAGGAATTTAGAAAAATACAAAAGGCGGTTCGAATCATTGAAGACTCTAAAGAAGCTCGTAGGTCTAAGCCGAAATGCACATGGCTAGAAGCCCAAAATAGATAATGCGATGATGTGATAATAACAAACAGAACAAATTAAATGGATGCAACCAACTTTTTTTACATATCATAGACATGGAGACAAGTTTAGATTGTTAGTGAGAGTGACTGAGATATTATTAAGGTAACATTTAGTAGAGGTCTAGTTATAAGATTGGTTTTATTAATGAGTTTGAAGAAGATATTCAAAGAATCAATTGCGAATTTGATTTACATTTTCATTTTATATTTGTGTAATATACACAAATAATCTCTACTACAGTGTGAGGAATTATGAAATGGCAAAAAGTTTCGACAAACCAATGCCACTGTAATGTACATAGACTAACCATAAGATATATTACCACTTACATTTTTTTATTTTTTTTTATATTACCACTTACATACAATTCAAAGAAGGAAACAATAGAAATTTCTTTCATATTTAGGAAAAATACTCCCAGATATGCGAGTTAATTACATGACATGACATATGTATGAATAATAATATTATAACTAGATTTTGACCCGCTCAACCGAGCGGGTGTTTAATTTCGTTTATAAATATATATATATATATATTTATTTATTTATTTACATCATTATTGGTATATATTATTATTCATATGTTTAATGTTTATAAAAGATTCTAAAAGATTTTGTTAGAATTCTTTTTAAAATATTTATTTTATTTCAAATAAAAGAAAGATATCAAAAGATATTGTAACTAAGTCAAATAAAATGTTATTAAGATATATATGAAATATTACTTTCTAAGAATGGTCCATTTTTAAAAATATCACACATGAAGAGAAGTTGTGACTTCTCTTTTAATATAATAGATGTTAGCATATATAAAGAAAACTGGATTGCTTTCACTCTAAGAATAGAAAGCAAACAAAAAAGGGATTTACCTATGTCTATGCGAACCTCAACTTTGCCTATACTGAACATGAGAAGAAGCTTTCACTTGTACAAATCACCAGAAACCTGTGAACTATGAGATTGTACTAATAATGGCTACTGCTGCATCGAGCTGGTTTGCGGGTAGGCCACTGCTTCTATAAGCTTCTCTTTCGTCAATGGATCCGACCCGTTACTAGACTTTACCACGAAAGTGTGAAACATTGTCTCTTCAGCAGATGAAAGCTTAGACTCCATTAGACTAACCTCTGAGTTTCTCATTGCTTGTATGATTCTTGAAGCTGGATGTGACTCTAACGGTGAGATTACTCTTACAACAACCTCTTCGTCCACAGCTTTAATGTCAACTTCTGTTCTATCTGCTTTTCTTACTCCTTCAGCACCTATGATCTTCACTTTCTCTTGAAGCTCTTTGATGTAAGAAATGGCGTCTTCAAGAAGAGAAGCTTTGTCCATCTTAGAGATATTAGGAACAACAGCTCGCAAAGCGTAGAATCTTTGGTTCAGCTTCTCTCGTCTCTGCCTCTCAGCTTCCACATGGTTTAATGGCTCTTCTCTTCCATTTGCAGGCTTTCTCCCTCGCTTTTTCGGTCTCTTCTCTTCCACAACAGAAGCTGCTCCTGCTAATAAGCTCGCTGGTCTTTTCTCATTACAAGAATCTGTCTTCTCCCGTTGAGTGTCTGTAGATGATCCAGCAAACTCTATCTGCATCTTGTAATTGTTATTGCCATTCTCCTGCACTTTCACATCACTTCCCTGAGATATGTAACCAAATGTTGAGCCTTTAATAGCTCCATGGTCCAAGCTATTCAGTTCCTGTCCGAAAAGCTTGGGAATCCTCATGTTTGAGGCCTCAACTCTCCTCATGAACAAAGCTTGAACAGACTTAACCAACTCAACATTCTCAGGCAAAGACCAAACAGAACCAAGCTCAAGAACACCAGCATCAGTAGGAACCATAACAACCGTCCTGACCCCGGCGGATTTCGCCATAAAAGACCTGAAACAGTAATCAGAAACAACCGCATCTGAGAGCCACCACACATGTTTCCCTGAAGCAAAGCACCTCCCAGGACCACCTTCACCATGGTTAAAGAAGAAATACATCGAAGCCAAGAAAAAAGTCTCAGTAGCTGTAACTCTCTCTAACCCCAAAGCATAATTGTCTTCATCAGATTCACCAAACACTCTCTGAAGCTTCTGCAACACTCTCTTCCTCATCTCCTGCCATCTCATCTCTTCCTCTATTACTAATCCACTGACTAGTTTTGATGATTCCTCTGACTGGTTAGGCTCACGACAACACCCATCTCCCCAACCTAGGACTTGATGCCCGGATCTTGACATGGTTTGCTGCCATAAGATAGCGTAGTTCCAGCTGAAATTCTCAGAGTTTGGCCACTCCACGAAGCTAGATAGCTTCTTGTTCAGACTATCGTCAGTTTCCATAAATAGAAAGAGATTCTGATTCGAAGATGAGATTGCTCTGAGGAAATCAGAAGCTAAGTTTCCTAAAACTGCATTAGCTATATATGTCTCTTCCTCGTCCCATCCTAAATCATTCATCTTCTTCCTCTATCTCTAGATTATTACACAACCAAATCCAAAAGACCAAACCTTTCTTCTACTGATGCTTGAAACCATAAAAACGCAGATAGTTTCTGATAAAGACAACAACTTGGTTTTGAGAGTTTCGAGTTTTAAAACTAAGATGAAGAGTTGAATTAGTTTTGAAACCAGGTATGAAAACAAGAGGAGGTTGAAGAAGATACAGTGTGGGGTAAAGTTTGTATGAATTCTTTTTCTTTTTTTTTTTAAACCAAACCATGGTTACTTATGCAATGTACTCGAGTTTGGTTATCATACCATGGTTCAGACCTTAACTCCCTGATTTTAAGATTAGCTAGAGTTTGTTTGTTTGTTTCCAGATAAAGATAAACAATAATCGTTGTCGTTAAAAAAAAAAAATAATAAACAATAATCCCTCTTCACTAAGTTTTGAAAATTAATGATTTATTATTAGTGAAGTTATTAGTATTATTATTATTATTATTATTTTCTGATACAGGATTATTATACCTAATTTTCGCTTATATTACCATTTAAAGAAGGACAATGATTTTTTCATTAACTACATATTAGAGAAGTACAGTACTCGTATACTAGGTAATAATCAGCATCTTGCGAGGAATGAGATTATTAATTTTTTTTGGATAAAAAGATATTAAGTCTATTTAATCCTACGTTACACAAATCGCCGATGGAGGTCGTTTCTTATTTTCAAAGCGGAATCGAAAATGTTCGGAATCGCATGAAATCATCACAGAATCGCGTTTCCAAAATTTTGATGTTTGGAAGTCTGATGGAAACACACGGTTCATAGGTGGAATCATGATGGTCATTGATCAGAAGCTTGATGTTGGCTTTATTGTTGATGTGCACAGAAGATGAAACATTATTCTTATGGATTTGCAAATTTTAATTAATTTATAATCTAATCTAACTCACTTTATTTTTAAAATCTTAATTCATAAATAACAATAGAGCTAAACACTAAATACTTAAATATGTTCTAACTCCAGGTTTCTGAATAATAATCTAATTGTACTATGCTTTTTCACTTATATTTTACTTCATATTGTTCGTATTATCAGTTGGTGTGTAGGAAATAATTAACTTTTGTACTTTATTTTATCAGTTGCAAACCAATTATACATATGATTTACA